GTAACATTACCGAGGAAGTGCAATAATTTTACGCGATTTCTCGGTAAAATTACCAACTCCATAAATGGTAATTTTACCAAGAAAAAACCGGAATCAAATAGAACCCTGAATTCTTGGTAATTTTACACTTTTCTCAGTAAATACACTGAGATTTTTTTTTTCAGTACGGTTTTGTATGCGGATGTACATTGCACTCGGCGTACGAGACTGAGATTAATCCTATTGGCGGAGGCTTCAGGGCTGAAACAGCTTGTGGGGCTGTCCAATTATGAACTAGCATCGATTAGTCGGCTCTTAGTGTAATTGAGTTTGTTTGAAACTCCTCTGAATTAATGCAAGAGATGGAGGCAGGGACATACTCGAGGAAACGGCATTTTTTCCAGTGGCGTGGCGTGCTTTTCGATAAATCGAATGATCTGCCATTTAAAGCTATAGTAAAGAATCGATTATTAAGGTGTTCGCTGCGAACACCCTGTTTATCGATCCTAAGCCATAGCTTTAAATGGCAAGTAAATCGATACATCGCAAAGCACGCCACGCCACTGATTTTTTCCCCGGCGAAAATTTTCCGGAAGACCGGAGCTAATTTCGGAATCGAAAAGGAGAGGAAAAACCATTTTAAATAATTTCCAGGCAGCTTGGAATATTAAATTGGCCCGGCTGACTCGCAATATCTTCTTCATCTGACCTATTTCGACCTCTCTGAGGTAGGTTTACAAATGTTTGTGCCTTTGTGGATCTTCTTTACGGGCAACATAGAATAAGCACCATTCATAGGAAGTGATTTCCTTTTGTCGGATACGGGTAAAACAGCCAATGGCGAAAGCGCGATAATTGCATTGTACTCACATTTCCCTCTCACGAATACCTCCCCCCCTTTCCTGAACCTTTTTCCGGCAAAGTGTGTCCTATCCGTCTATCCTATCCGTAACTCGAACAATTTAATTTTTCACAAGAATGTACTCGTGCAATTATTCTGCCGTGCTAAGGAAAAACGCCGTATAAACATTCGAGAGTTGCCCGATCTCCTTCGATAAAATGTTTATTTTTGAGGAAGGTCATGAATGTTTATCCTTTAAATTTTCAGAATCTTTAGATGAAATTGCGAACAAAATTATCTGAAAAATTGGTAGGAAAATATTTACGAGTTTACCAGGAAATTCGCGTTTTATCAAAGGAAATTTGGCAACGCAGGAAGGTTCATTCGGCGTTCTTCCTTAGCACGGCAGCATTGTCCAAAATTTTACTGCTTTTGCATGAGATCCGGAAAAAAATCGGTGAAATTTTCAGTTAGCAATGCCCAAGATCGTCTAGGTGGTAATGCGATTTACGAGGGGAAATTCGGCAACACTGAAATGTAGTTACGTTCCTTTGTAAGGGAACGTCGCATTGTCAAAAAACTGATACCTGGAGTAATATCCAAAAATTGAATCGAAAAATCACACAAAGAAACGAAAGCTACACAAGTTATGATAATCCATTCTGATACCTCCCGGTATCGTCCGTTGGGCATACATCGGGCACAGGACAGCGTTCTGAATGATTTTGGCGATGTCCAATTTGTCAAAAATTCACGTTTGCTTGTCAAACTAATCGGAAAAATTACCACAAATGTACTTTGTGCGGAAAAGATAGTCAGCCCTTAGTTGCCCTTAGTTGGATGCCTGGATGTTTCCTAGATTCCCGCCATAGATTCACCTTAATGGACACCCTTCGAGACCTCAGCAACGTCATGTCTGAATGAGTCCGACGGACAACCGATGTACAAACAAGAATTCGGCAATTCGTAGCTCCCCTTACGAAAAGCCGCACCTCAATCTCCACTTGAGCCGCGTTTTACACATAAATCCATGCTTTCTAGGTCTCATCCGGAAATGAAGATAGACCCTCTAGCCAGAGGAGTGAGGAATTGCGGTGTGTCGCCGTGAATGAAATTCAATCTGAGCCTCGCGCCACAAGCACAAGCGCAAGCTCGGCCACCCAGACTTAAAGTTCAATGGCTCCGCAACACCTAACAAGCGTCGAAAACACCCTGCTCCGTCCCCTTTCAGTGTCAGTCGGGACGATGGAGGGGGTGGTGGGGGGCGAGGGGGAAGGGGGTCGATCAGCGCCCGTTTCATAATCAATTTACCCGAAATTCGAGACGGCCATTGTCCTGCGGGATCGGCACTTGTGTAATACCATTAGAGGATGGTGTGTTTCCAAACCTGGACCTGGAGGGGAGGCTGCTCTGAATGCAAGAGGAATTGGGATTGTCCAACGAATTAATCTGTTGCAATGAAGCGATTTCAAGGCGTTTTAGGGTCGCGCAGCCTCGAATAATAAAAGTTGTGGGTTCACTCAATTGTGTGTTGTCATAAAAACTTTACAAATGGAGCTTTCCGCTGGTAGCCCAAATTTGTGTTTCTTGACTCATTGCGGCAAAATTATAACCCTTTAAAAAATCTCCACTGTTTGCTTCCACACACGATGTCCTTTTCTGTGGAGGTCTCTGATTGAATCAGTGAGAACGAAAACACGCCAACTCTGTAACTTGAAAATGCTTAATTTTCATTAAAGACAGACAATTTTTTCACAACAGTCATTGAAGTTAGCGCATCATCTGTTCCAGCGTAGACCTTTACAGGATCCCCCAGTAGGTTTCAGGTCAGTAGGTCTACGTCAGAAAGTCTCCTTTTAGTAAAGTCTACAATACATTAACGTCTATAATACTTTAACGTCCGCGAATATTAAGTCTATCTAACAAAAACTTCTATTTTTGTATCGTCCACCAAATGAATGTCTACTACGGGAGGAGGTGTTTTCAAATTAAAGTCTAAGTACCGCTGCAACAATTCTATTTCATTCTTTCGTCTATTTACTACGGTAGTCTATCTATCAAAATGTGGACACAGCGAGGATCCTTTGTCAATGAGTACAGCTGATACAGATGATTGCTAACCTAACACGCTTCCATGGCAACCATCAAACATGTACCTTGAGCTTTTTTCATTTCACTCGTGAAAAGAACTTGCTCTTAGAAGAGGTTATAAGGGAAGAAAATTTCTTTGACCGAATTATTTTTGTAATCAGGGGAGGAATATTAAATTATCTATGTTTGTGAACAAAATTTGCAGAAAGTAGCATCAAGATGGAAATGGAGACGGTTCTTTATAATAAGGGGGGTATTAAATTGTCAAAGTTTATTAACGAAATTTGAAGAAATTACGATCCTCTTTCCTCACATCTTCAAGCATACCAAAATAAGTATTACTTTTAGTCTTCCTGAATAGGAAATTCCAGAGACGCCTTTTTTTATAGACGATGTTTTCCTGCAGGCGTACACTGTGTGGACTAATTTCCGTAGACTGAATCGGCGTGTATTAATTCTGTGTTTCAACTTCATTCTACGTAGACTTAAAACTCGTAGACTCATTTCTGTAGACGCAAAGTCAGTAGACTTTTTGCAGTAGACCCACAAACAATAGACCACATTCCCGTAGACCTACTGACCTCTAACCCCTCAGTACTTGTTCTTCGAAACCAAAAATCTTTTTCTTCGACTAACTTCTTCACCTGCTGTGCAGTTTTGTGTGGGTCTTGATTATTTTCATTTTTTCGGGTTGATGTGTTTTTGTTCTCACTTAATCAATTATAACAACGAAGGGAAGAAGTGTTATTTTATGAAGCGACAATCTTCAAATTTTAGTAAGCGTATGCTCATTTTTTAGGTGTGCACGTTGTTCACCTTTAGAAAATGTATTGCACTTTACGAAATAACAGCGTGACATTTTTATCATCTTCAAAATTTCATTTCAATGCATTGTTCAATAAGAACAACTCATACAGTGGCGAAGCGTGAATGATCGATTATCGATATTTCCTCATTTGGATTTACGGTAAAGAATCTATTATTGAGGTGTTTGTTGCGCACACCCTTTTCATCAATCCTTTTCCAACGGTTTAATTGACAGATCAATCTGTATGTCACAAAGAACGCCACGCCATTGAACTCGAATCTGTTCATAAAACTTCAAAATTGGACATATTTCTATCAAACGGAACTATGTGCATTATGACGTGAGTTCTGTTACGCATATATTCTTATGGGTCTCAGGGCTCATGTCTTAATGCACATAGTTCCGTTTGGCAGAAATACGTCCAATTGTCTCCCCTCCCTCCGCCGGGGTTAGGGGAGTATCCAGGGTAGTTAATTACCGACGATTTTCCGAAATCCGATACGGCACAGTGATTTTGTCATGTAACTCCGTGAATTATGAAAGGGGTTCAAATAAGCTAAAAATATTAACAAAAACAAATGTCTAGTCACCCCCGGTAGCCTACATTTTATGTGGACTACTAGATATTTTTTGTTGGAATCCCAAGAGTGGAGATGTTGCATGTGTGAGGGATTTGCGATTTGACCATTGATTCTCATGTAAAAGTTCGCGAGAAACACGATGGTGCCACTGGGTTTCTCTGAAATCAACATCCAAGCTCAAAAAAAGCTCTCAGGTTGAGGCCAAAATGGAGGGGATATCCCACCCTACCCTGAGAGTCCACCTCTACATCAAGACAAACTCTCCATGCAAAGATGGGGAGCAAATACATTGACAGGTCTGCCACTTTATTTGGGGACTCAAAAACTGAAAACACGGCATCACTGCTAATGTATTTGCTCCCTATCTTTGCATGGATAGTTTGTCTTGATGTAGATGTGGACTCTCAGAATAGCGTGGGACATCCCCTCCACTTTCGCCTCAACTTGAGAGCTTTTTTTGAGCTTGGGAGTTGATTTCAGAGAAAATCAGTGGCATCATCGTGTTTCTCGCGAACTTTTACATAAGAATCAACAGCCAAATCGCAAATTCCTCACACATGCGACATCTCCATTGTCCACGAGGAAATGTTGAAGCAGAAGCCTCCATCTATGGCCGAGAGGCCAGTGGAGGGTTTCTTGTCTCTGATCTACCCGCAAGGGGAGGGAGAAGCAAAAAGAAGGGATGGATGTGGGTGCTTACCTTTTCGAGGTATCCGTTGAGGGCCTGTCCGGTGGTCCAGAGGACGGGGATGTTGAGGGACTGGGCGGCGAGGGTGACGCCGAAGCCGGAGTGCTCGGCGCCGAAGAGGAGGACCCCGAGGACGCTCTTGTTGCGCCAGACCTCGAGGAGGCTCTCCACCCAGGAGAGCTTGAGCGTCCGCGGGAGAGGCGAGAAGATCGGGAGGAGGCGCAGCTCGGAGGGGCTCCGCGACGCGTACGAGCTCAGGATCGGCCGCAGCATCTCCTCCATCGAGCCCCCACCCCCACCCGCCCACGCCTCCTCCTCCGTGTACACGATCCCCAAGTAGAGCTCTTCCCTGGAACAAACAATTCAATTGAATCAGTGAAAAACACACCATTCGAAAACACACCAACTCGGAAGAAAAAATTGTTCAGGAAACATCTAAAACTGCGCAGCGGACGAAGAAGTTAGTTAAAGAAAAACCTTTTTGGTGCGTTGAATCCTTATCGAACAGAGTGGCGTAGCGTGCTTTACGATAGGTGTATCGAACATCGATTGATCTACCGTTTAAACCTTGGGAAAAGGATCTACAAACAGGGTGTTCGCAACGAACACTTTTGTAGTCGATTCTTTACCACGGCTTCAAATGGGGGGAAAATCGATAATTGATCGTTCACGCCTCGGCACTGCTATCGAATGATCGATAAGTGAATCAGTGAGTTCAAAACACACCAACTCGGAAAAAAAATTGTTCAGGAAACATCTAAAACTGCGCAGCGGACGAAGAAGTTAGTTAAAGAAAAACCTTTTTGGTGGGTTGAATCCTTATCGAACAGAGTGGCGTAGTGTGCTTTACGATAGGTGTATCGAACATCGATTGATCTGCCGTTTAAACCTTGGGAAAAGGATCTACAAACAGGGTGTTCGCAACGAACACTTTTGTAGTCGATTCTTTACCACGGCTTCAAATGGGGGGAAAATCGATAATTGATCGTTCACGCCTCGGCACTGCTATCGAATGATCGATAAGTGAATCAGTGAGTTCGAAAACACACCAACTCGGAAAAAAAATTGTTCAGGAAACACCCAAAACTGCGCAGCGGGCTAAGAAGTTAGTTTCAGAAATACTGAAAAAAAATCTCGGTGTATTTACTAAGAAAAGGGTAAAATTACCAAGAATTCAGGGTGCTATTTGATCCCAGTTTTTTCTTGATAAAATTACCATTTATGGAATTGGTAATTTTACCGAGAAATCTCGGTAAAATTATTAAACTTTCTCGGTAATTATACTGGACCTTCGTAAAAACGCCAATATTTTTTATCGACTGTGGTAGAATTACCGAGATAAAATGGCAAAGTTACCGGGAATTGATTACCAATAAAAGTGGTATTCTTACCTGAAAAAAACAGTAAAAATACCGGTTTTTAGGTAAGCTTACCAGTCTGCCTTGGTAAAATTACCAATAACTGGTAAAAAAAGTGAGATGGTAAAGGTACCAACGGATCGTGGTAAAAACGCCGAGAATTTTTTTTTTCAGTGAATTGAATCAGTGAGTTCGAAAACACACCAACTCGGGAAAAAAAATTGTTCAGGAAACACCTAAAACTGCACAGCGGGCGAAAATAAAGAGAAAATGGAAAGAGAGCGAGGGAAAAGACGCGCCTTGTTGACGGCGCAGAGATACAACAATTCGTGCTTGATGGGTGTCCGTGTTGCGTCTGCAGAATTGAAGGCGCGATGGCGCGAGGCGTGAACTCCCAATAATCCGCTCTGCGGGGTGGTGCTGGGATTCGGGAAAAAGTTAGAGAACGAGGCCGGATTACATCTCGTCCAGCTTCGGCTGTGTTGCTAACGTACCCGTAGTCGGGGAACGAGTGTTTTCATTTTGAGTATGCATAAAACGCCACTGAAATCCGCGAGTGAAAATGAAACAGTGAGTTCGAAAACATACCAACTCGGAAAAAAAAATTGTTCAGGAAACACCTAAGACTGCGCAGCGGGCGAAGAAGTTAGTTTAGGAAAAACCTTTTTGGTGCCAAAGGACAAGTACTCAGAGACTTTGGAAAGCACCAAGTTGAAATCGATGCTCAATGTTTGATGACAGAGAATTAAGCGTTTAAAAATTTCCGAGTTGGTGTGTTTACGTTCTCACCGACTTTCAGATACTGATTTTTCAAAGTCTGCCCTGATAAATTTATATTTTTCGACCTGACTAACGCTTGAATATCTATATAACTTATCAATTAAGTCACAATTTCATGCACGATGTTCTGCTCGGCGTTCATGATCTCACGTACTCTTTCGTTCCTTACGCGATCTCTCCTCGAGATTCCGGCTGATCTTAATGTTTACACAAATTAAAAAGACATTTTAGATAAGAGCATCTCTCTGGCAAAGGTTATTGCCACAGCAAATTTTCCTCATAGTTTTGTGTATTTTTAAACGGAGCATTAGAACTAATGTTCCTTGATATTAACCGGCATGAAAGTATTAGGTCGAGGCACAGAGCCTTTATTAAGACACAGATCAATCATTCGTCAGAGCCTCGTAAATAAGTATTGACGCACGGCATAAAGTATCTGAGAGATCCTCGGTAGATAAGCCGGAAAATGGTATTTTTAACAGAGTGAGGCAAATCGACGGTTTCAACACTGCCGTGCTAAGGAAGAACGCCGCATGATTATCCGAGAGTTGCCAAATTTCCCTTGATAAAACATTTATTTACGACGATATTCATGCATATCTTTCCTTGAAATTATCAGGTATTTTAGATTAAATTGCGTGCAAAATTGTCTGAAAATTTTTGGGGAAAAATATTTGCAATTTTCCTAATTAAGTCGGTTTTTATCGAAGAGAACTTGGCAACGTCTAATGGCTCATACGGCGTTTTTCCTTAGCACGGCAGAACAACTCACCCTTCACGTGCCGGCCAATGAGGAGCGAATAGAAGCATAAACCATTCGCATTCAAACTCGTAAAATGTGAGAGCTTTTATGACCAATCTATACCCACTAAGTTCCTCCGAGGAAGCTGTAGATGAAAATTGCTGATGCAAAGGGCGGGAAGAATATAGACATTTATTCACCATAAACCGCGGGGGCTTCTTGACCTGGAAATATTATTCCACCCAGTCCCAATTATCCATCGACCTCCTACCTTCTCGATGCTCACTGTCGCAGATGAATTTTTTCCGATTTTTTTTTTTCAACCGCTTTGAAACATTGAAATCTCTGTAAATGAAAACTATAGGGGTTGATATGTGCGAGTTAATGACGCGCCTTATCAACACGTTGTGTTGGAGTTCACTGCTTGTTTTACACTATTTCCCATATCAGAAAAAAATATGAATAACACTGTGAAATTAGCACTATAAGCACATTCAGACGAAGCAATAAAACAATGGGCCTGTTGCATGCAAGAGATACAGCCGTGCGAATAGACTTTTCAAAGGTTGAATGACACAAAAATTACGATGGTCACATTAAAAAAGTCTGAAATACACTCCTTACTGCGCAATTTGTGTTGTTAGGAACGCGCTTTTTCAAATTTCCCGCGTCTGGGGGCAGTTTTCTAACGGAAACTCGCGGCTATTTCCGGTCAACTAAAACTGACAACATAACCTAAAAATCGGAGCTCGTGACATCGTGAAATGAAATGTAGAAGGATTGCGTTGGATATTTAAAAGTTGATCGATTTGGTTACCGCATAAAGTGTATATGGACCACTGTAGGAGATCACGTTGGGTTTGTAAACAAACTGAAGAAATAAATAACAACAACAACAACGACTCGGCATCTTCCGGAAATCACCGAGCCCGCCGTTTGCTCGTTTCCGGTTATTAGAAAACTGCCCCCAGGCGCGGGAAATTTGAAAAAGCGCGTTCCTAACAACACAAATTGCGCAGTAAGGAGTGTATTTCAGACTTTTTTAATGTGACCATCGTAATTTTCGCGTCATTTAATCTCTGAATAGTCTAATCGCGCGGCTGTATCTCTTGCATGCAACAGGCCCATTGCATGAAAAGTCTCCATTGGTTTGAAAAAACTGTTGATTGGTCTTCTTTTACCCTTTAGATGAACAAGCCGAGTTAAATTTACTCGAGCCTTGCTAAAAACACGTAACCCGTGGGTTATATGGGGCCGGTGCATATGAACTTAGATATTAGTATACTAATACATACTCAAAAAAAAAAAAAGGATCAATCATCAAGTTAAGAAAAAAGAAAAGAACATCGAGTGTCAGCACAGCCAAAGATAGGAGAGCCGTATTCGAACCTCGTTTTAAAACTGTTTTCCCGAATCAGAGCGACACCTTTCATTGGTAGCGAAGAGCGGAGCATTGCCAGTTCACGCCACACGCCATGGCGCCTTCAAATTCTGTGGACGCAACACGGACATCCATCAAGCGCGAATAGTTGTATCTCTGCGCCGTCGTCAACGCGCGTCTATTCTTGTGCTCTGGTTCCATGTTGCCGTGCAAGGGAAAAACGCCGTAAGAACATTCAAGAGTTGCCAAATGTCCTTCAATGAAATGTATATTTTTGAGGAAAGATATGAATATTTCTCTTTGAAAATTTTCAGGCACTTTAGGTAAAATTGCGAAAAAAATTATCTGAAAAATTGGGAGGAACCTACGAACGGGCCACGTTTTTTTAACTTTTCTCCCAAATCAGAGTGACACCTCATGCCAGCATGGAGTGAAGCATTGCGAGTCAATTCGATCCAACTTGAGACTTGGTGCACGAAGAAAAATCTTTTGGCATTTCCTTTTACTTAAGCCATTGATATTTTCCTTTGAAAATATCAGAAATTCAACCGCGCTTGTACTGTGTAACCCTGTAAATATGACTCTAATGAACTTATAAGAATACAAATTAAATTCCTAGTGTTGAAGATTGTTTAAAAATGCTTATGAAGTTATTCTAAGCAAAACGGGGGACGCATACCTTTACACAGGCGGATTCGAACACCTCAAATGGGAGGGGTGGATATTTTCTGAACCGCGGAGATGTCAGAATGAAATTTCGGAATATTAAAGCATCTAATAGTTGCTGTCAATTTTGTCGTGAATAATTACCGAATATAAGCTTCTTTCCTTCTCCATACCTCAGTTTCCTATTTTCTCTTCTTTTTTGTCTTCTTTCTCTCTTTTGTGGGTTAACACTGACGTATTACGCATCCTTTTAGAATGGTCGAATCGTGAATTGAGTAAAATTCACAGCTCTCACGTTGCTAAATGAATATAAAACTCAAAATTTTCAACAAACTGGCATTCTTGTTTTGTTTTGATCCTCAATTCACACTTGACAAATCTTAGGTGCCTTGATACAATGTTTACCTTGCGTGCATATACATACATATTGTTGACTTTTTTATGGCTCAAAAGCGGTGTGAGTGAAATCTGGGGCAAAGTGCTGAGAAGTGCAGTTAAAATGTGTCGTCGAGCTTCGCAGCTTGTGCGAATCTGCGGCAATATTGAAACGCTTACTTTTTTAAAGCTGTTAAGCTTTCATGATGTCTCTTGAAAACTTTTGTCAACGTTGGAGGTGAGATGTAAGTTCTGAAAGAGCACCGAGCTATTAAGTTTGAACAATTTGTGTGCTTTTATGTCAATAAAGCTTCTACAATTTGAGAGAGGGTTTCAATTTACAAGGTTTTGTTCACAGAATAAAGTAAAAGTTTTTACTGCATTCCTAATCGGTTTATTGTAGAAAGTTCCAGGAATTTAGATTGACCCGTCTTTCAAGAGTGTGGTAACAAACTAATTTTCTTTGTTATTGGTGTTTCAAATTCTCCCGACACGCATTTTTCGGTACGCAGAAAAGCACGGAAAAATTAAAATGCTTATTTAACAATTTTTTGGTTAAAAAAAGTGTCCGATATGTATTGATGTAGACTTTACAATAACCATCCACGTGGTTAAATTAGCTCCCCTTGAGTGTTACATGTGCATTTGAAACATATTAGACATGTTTTTTTAACAATTTAATTAAATCAGCAATCCTTTTTTTTCGCGTGGTTAGGTACTTTTTGAGCGACCCGTATTGATTCTTTAACGTATGAACTCGTTTTTCCTGTGGAGGTATCTGGAGGGTCTCCGACAAAAAAATCTATGAATCGATGGCTACAGTCAAATAACGTGAGCCACAAATTGCAAGGTTTTAAATTTTTGTTCATATTTTAACTTTTCAAAATAAAACTAACCGACAAATTTCCTATGAATTTTTCTTTTTCATTTACAAATATTCACAAGAAATTTCCAAGAGCTCTTCTCGTGGGTTTTTTTGTAGAAAAATTAAACCAAATTTGATAGGTATTCGTAAACGTCCCAAAGGGATTGCGGATTTTCCGACTTTATACATAGACAAAAGGGCTACGCTCATTGACCGCTTTGCGGTACAACCCCCCGAAGTGGTTCGTGCCTCAGGCGAAATGGTTGCGCGTATTCCTATTATCATTTCATATTACAGAGTTTGATATTCAGGATGACGTCATAGATTGCTGGCATTGGCGGATCCAGCAAATTGGCAACTTTGCTTTTCTCCATTTAAACCTATGGCAATGTATCGATTCTTAGAGGGGGCAAGCACTCCGACAAGAATCGATTATTTAACATAGCTTTAAATGGAGAAAATCCGGTGTTGCCAAATTGCTGGATCCGCCTCTGATTGCTGGCACATCGTTCATCATACAGCAGCCGCTTGTTTTAAGATTCTACACGGAGAAAATGTTTCTGTTTAAATACCAAACCCGGGTTCTCTAGAAGTCAATCACGCGAATCTCTTCAGAGCGACTGCGGGCATCTCTTCAAAGCAGTAGAAATACTATATTCAAATCAATAGAGATTTCATGTTGTTCCAAGGAAAAATTCCCACCGTGGCCCTTATGACAGGAGCTCCTGTTGATCCAACAGGAAATGTTCCTCAGTCTACTTCTGAGGTGACTCGATTAAAAGGAAGTAGGTAGAAAGGTTTCATGGCACTTCTTGGCAATCGGCGTTACAATCAACAGTTTCATCGTGATTAAGAGCCAACTTTCTGACTACCGGACCGAAAACTCCAACTTCCTCCACGGCCTCCGATAGCTTTTACCGCGAAGTTGGCCGAGTTCTTTTATTAATTGGAAAGGTAGTAAACGAACCAATCACCTGCGGTATTATTACTCCGAGCGAGGGGTTAAAGCCGTGCGTTACGCTCCGATCACTTCTCATAGACCCACTTTAAGAATTGGCAAATGCTCATTCCGCTCGCTGAGGCCGGATTAATTTATTTTTTTGCGCGTTGTGCCAAAATTTTCGGCACTCTGACTTTGGATCCCGTTCCTTTTAATGCGTATTTAAACGCTTCAGATTTAGAGTGATGATGAGGCTCTTGAGATTATATCGAAAAACTGAGGAAAATAGAGAAAGAAACCTCTGACGTAGAGACCGCTAAGTTGGAATTTGTTCACATTGTTACCTAACTACTTTGACTGAAAGTAAAATCTATAATAATCCCGATACGTGTCACGTGCCACTATCCGTGACACTGTTATCTTTCAACCGAGGAACTTCAAAATATTGGCGCTTTTCAATGGTAAAATGTAAACTTTGCAACGCTGTATTACCGAAACGAGCTTTGAACTCAAGTTATAATATAACTTTCACTGGAGGTGTGTCTCATACTGAAGGATCGTCCAGACCCTATTTGAACAAATCTCTAAGGGACCCCAAAGAGGGGCACTTTTTGGCAGGTGAATTCTACACTTTCCTCACATTCTTTCGCTAAACTAAAAGACTCTTTAAAAAAACCCAATGTACACTGTTAAAAATTAAGTAGTGGAATTCGGTGCTGGATTTTGTATTGCGCCCGAAGACCTCGGTTGATATGAATGCGAAGTGGAATTAGCACCAAAAAAGCTTACGACATTCTGCAAAAAGAGTATATTCCACTCCGTGATAATGTAAGTCACCCCGTAAGGAGAACAGATTCTGTTCCGCAATCATATCACTTCGACGTATTTCTATCTAACAGATTTATGTGGAGGTGAGAAATGTGGGGTGTGCTCGTTGGTTCTCTGGCCGTAAGAGTGAATGAGAATAATAAAGCGCCAGTGACGTCAGCGGCAACGAACTACGAGGACACGACGGGGAGATTGACGTCGGGGCGCTTTAACTCATGATCCCTGTCCACAACGCTCTCGTCCCATGCCCGCGGCTCATGAATCCTGCATTCAGTTGGCACATGTTTCTTTTTACTCAATTTAAAATCCCGCTTTTCTAATTCCTCCAAAGGAATCACGCCCACTCGTTTCGGCAATAAAGCGTTGCAAAGTTTGGTGTTATTGGATTTGGCGTTGCTTACCTGCTACTTTTCAGTTTCCTCGCGTTGACGGCATCCGCCTCGGCTTCCGGCAGTGAGAGGGAGGGGAAAAAGTTGAACAAAAACAAAACTAGGACCGAGTATTTGATACAGGGGCATAGGTAGAAAAAATATAACATATCTAAAAAAACCCGAGACTCGAAGGTGCGAAACGAATGAGATGCCCCGAGGGGGCGGACGGCGGTTCAACGTGGCAACGTCGCGGCGTGGCGTGGTCACGTGGTGCTCCTCGGCGACCTCTATCCGAATTCTATGTTGTGTCGCTCCATAGCCTCTCCTCTTCCGACATGCGAACTTGCAGCTCTGCCCGACGACGAAACCCGCACGACAAAATCCCTCTGGCGGCGCCGGAGGCGTCAAGACGTCATCACCATCAGCTCCTCGTCAACTTTTATCACAGCTCCGGGGCGGCCCGCATTCCCCCGGACCCTCGGATACCCGCCGAAGAGATCGCCGGCTGGAAGACGGAGAAACGCTCAAAACGCATGAGCGGCGAATGGGGAAGAGCGCGGATGAGCGAGTCCCGCCGACGGAGCCGCTTTAAACTTGGATTCCGTCCGCATCTCGGGGAAAAAACGGATTGATTTTTGAAATGGAAAACACGACGCAGCGGACGGAAAAACGAATTATGATGCGGGGGTGGAGTGGGCGGGGCGGGGGGCCGGGGAGGGAGGGATGAAGGTTACGGCGCCGCCGAGGCGATGAGAATCAGGAGGACCAGAGATAATCCGCACGAATCACAGGGATCACTGCACATCTGCAACAGAGAAAAAAACGCCCGGTTTCAGCGAGGATTGATAAATCGAGCAAACACTGAAAAACAGAGGTCAGCTCAAAAGTTGTCTGCAGCCGCGGGATCCGCAAGGATCCCGCCGCACAACCGGGGGAAACTCACGATTAGACGACTCAAAATTGGACAGCGTTAAACAGAAAGGAACCAAGCCACATCAGCTATTGCCAAATTTAATCGGGTAATTTCATTTTTTACATGAAAACGGTTGTGCGGATTTTTGTGCAAATTTCAGTGAATTTTTTTCAAACATACAAGGCAAGATACAAGGCGAATTCCTTAAATTTGTCAAAGGAATCTGCACAGACGTTCTCTCGTAAAAAATGAAATTTCCATGTTAAATTTGGCAATAGCTGATGTGGCTTGGTTCCTTTCTGCTTGACGCGGTACAATTCCACTTCACTTTCCAATAAAGAACTACGATTTCTGGCTTAGTTTTTAAAAAAAACCCTATGTATTATTGCTTTCCCTATATATGTCGCACGTCGCAGGCAGTCAGCAATCGCTGGCGATTTGCAAGCTCCGTACTTCTCAATTCCGTCGAATTGCATTTACAATAACATCTATATAGTGAAGGTTTCGTTAGCGAAGAAATTCAAAACACGACCTCAGCTTGGCACGCCTTCAAATCCAGAGATACTCTCCGCTTTGCTAAGGAGTTAGTTTAGTTGCTTAACCAAACCAAACCCAACGTAGATTATTGATTACATCTCACGAACTCGCGAGTGCGCTAGCTGGTACCATGCATTCAATAGGATGGCTTATGTTTGAATTCGAAGCATAATAATCACTACTTCCTATCTCGTTTTTTCACTTTAAACTTTGTTAATTTGTTGATTCAACACGAAAAGATTGCAATTTGCCGGCGATTTCTGATTGTCTGCGATATATACATATGTATGTTTTCACGGATGATCCAGAGATTGAAGTTCCCAATTGCAAAATGTAGTCCAGCTGAAGAAATATACCACTAGATATGGTAAACAGTATTAAACATTCTCACATCTCTTTCCTTTTCAAAATTTTATGTATAACACGATTTACGCGACAAAAATTACTGATGATAACTCTAAATCAAAGTACCAAATTATTTTTAGCATTAGTTACGAAAACTTTGAACATTACAATCACATGAAAATTCAGAGTTCACTTGAATCAAATTGTGCACCGCAACTACAACGGTTTTGGCAGGCTTCCCAATCAGTAGTGATCATTCCCCTCATGTGTCAATCCAAGTGTAAACAACGTGTATCGTGGAAAATACCCGGGATAATGCAACTAAACAACACAGAAAACGGGTAATCAAGGCTAAAAACAACCAACACAAGGCCTCCGACGTTTCGGGGTCGTTTCAAATACCTCCTCGACCAGGAAACAAAAATATATCATGCATTTTTATTAATAAAAAGTCTACGCAGATACTGCGTAGATTCTTTGACACTGCAAGGGATAAACCTTACAATTATTGAACTAATAGCCTCGATGATTGGAGCCTCATTCGGAGGGGCAATTTCCACGCGTGCATTTCCTGTATGGTGCAACCTGAGGGGGTGCCCGTGGCCTGCGCCCCCTCGTCCCGCCCTCCCATATTTTGAACGGTCTCCGAGACTCCAAGGAGGAGGGAGGAGGAAGGGAAGAGAGGGGGCTCATTGATATTCCAAGTTGAGTGAGCATCAACATCCCTCCCGTCCCTCCACCGAGCGGGGCCAGCGGGACGGGGCCCGGGGGTTTCCATTGTCTCGAGCTAAAAACTCGCCAAGAGTACGGGGAGGCACAGCGCAGAGCCGCGGCCGACGCGACGCGCCGCTGACGTAATCTGGGTCAAGATGTGCCATGCGGCAAATGCACGTCTCGCGAAACACCGTTGCCGCCTCACTGTTGTCACACTCTCGTCCTGGGATGATTGATCTACAAGACATTAAAGTACAGCGCGAGTACATTCATTTCGAGGCGTTTAGGGATGGGAACACGTTTCCATTGAAAGTTCTGAAAACAAGTTGGTTTTTGCAATCGCTAGCGATAGCAATATTCGTCATGGGAACTTTTGCTTCTGGGATATGAAAATGTTAAGGTACAGTTCGTTTGTAGTATCTTCAGAATTGAAGGGGCTATGTAATTTTGTGTCGACATCTCTTTTTTAACATTTTTAATTTTTTTTCTTTGCATACAAGAAAGCTGTTATTTACCAATTATTTATTTTCGTTGGATTATGTATGGTTTT